TTGAAGTCACTGATGTAGGCAATGAATAACTTCAAGTTGGCATAAAGACGAGGTAGTTTATTTAAACAGTGCTGAACAAGAAACTGAAATTATAATTACGTTTTTTGTCATATAATTTGTTTATTTCAACTTGAATTTCTCCTGAAGTCATATAAAATTCACTGGTGAAAGGATCTTTTGGGGTGTAGTTTACATTGTGTATGGAGTGTTAGGGTCGGGTGTCATACAATTTGTTCATTTCCAACTCTTATGAAGTCACATAGAATTTCACTTAATTTATTTTCGCTGAAACGTTTTCAAGCATTACATGTGAATTCAGTTTTCACTGTGCTGTGTCTAGTCTCAATAGAGTATGAGGGAAATGGCATTTTCACTGGAATTTATTTCAGCGGAAAAATGTTATCAGTGAAAATGAAGTATACCACATTATTACATATGTACTGCAGTTTATTTTGATTCTTCTTTGTAATCAATATCGGTATTTTCACACCCCATATGCAAATAAGGTCTGAGAGCAAACAGAGTAGTCCTTTCAAGAGTAGTGTTTTTCGAAATATGGCAGAAATAAACAATATTTAGAAGTACAATATTTTACCTTTGGGGTACATGAATATACTTGCCGAGTGAAATGAAATTTGAACAACAGTAATGGTACTTCTAGGCAGTCACTTATTTTTACTAAAACTAATTTGCATATCACCCATGCAATAATGGTTTCGGTATTTTCACGGTCAATATGCAAATGAACATGGTATCGGCGATCCGCTCTACTAGGACTTTGTTTCACTGTATCATTTTTGTGCGTTTCTGTATGTATGTGATTTCCAGTGTTTTCAAGTATTAATTCTTCTGCGATTTTGTTCATACTTGACAGGCAGGTCGTACCATCACTAATTGGAAAAACAATCCTGGCCCACCGCTATCATGGCAACAGCCAAAATCTGTTTTTTGAATACTTTCGCCAAATTTATTGCTTCCTACCAGTCTTGTAATAGCAGTGCCCAAATGATCATGCCTTTTATTTTGGCTACGTTGCGCACTGGTAAGAGATCACCAGCGCCGACATTGTTACCACTCTGAGTACTTCCAGTTTTTTATGGTTGCAGCAGTGGAACAAGGGCTACAAATTTCGTCAAAAAAAAACTTTAGTGGTCACGTGACTTTTTTGCTAGAATTTTTCGAAATTTTGTTTTGCATCTCATTTGTATATTTTTTGACTGATCCACTAACCCTGCATGACTTTTAAAAATCATGTGACATAGTATTTATTTTCAAAATGGCAAGTCCAGGCGATAAGCTGTTTTTTAGAAAAAGATTTTAAAATGTTTTTTCATATTTTTTTCTCTCATTTCATGAAAAGCATCATGGGAAAGGTGGGAGGGCCCAGTATATTTTGTGTGAAATATCTCAAGCAGTGTTACAGATAGAGATATGCAACCAGCGCAATATTGAAGCCATGGGACAACAGATATGGCTAACTTAACAGATTACCATATAGGGTCATGTGATCTCATTAAATATGCATAACCGTGATATCTCAATCACTGTTAAAGATAGGAACATGCAACCGGTGCAATATTGAAGCCATTTAAACTGTAAATCTTTCAATTCTATTATTACCCAATGTTCATTGTATAGGAGTTTTGTCAGCAGTCAATTTGAGTATTGCTGTACAATGGGGTCTCCATGGCAAACTACAGTAATTTAATTAACTCGAAAGAGTGCTAATAAGTTTATGTGTTTTATGATTCAGCGTTATGTATGATTCTAATAATATGTTAGTTCATGTCTTCTTTTTGTTCACCCACTCGGCGTTTTTTAGATGTTATGTTTCTATATACATGTAACTGTATTCTGTCACTGCTCTGGCAAGTTTCTATTAGAACTTCCGTGGCGGTTACGCTCAATCGATCTCCTTCAAATTGATCGATCTCCGTATTATCAGGGGTGGAGCTACGTCACAGAACGTTCTATGTTGGTAAGATGTGCAGCACTGTAGCATATATTTCTACGGGCTTTGTGGAACGCCGATTGAAGTGCCGGTGAAAACAGCACAAACTCAACTATGAGACAATCCTGAGTGATCAAACTCATATATGTTGTACATGTAGGGGTAACAACTTTCCCAAAGCATAGTTTTTGGCTTCTGTTTCCATCGTGATGGTTGCCAGGTGGTGAAAATACCCGGATGGCCGCCCCCAAGAAAGTTTTCACAATTGCTCGGGCTAGCTATAATAATGTTATTAAAATGAATTGTCCTATTGGTATATCTGGTCGAAAGTTTACTTTTCGTGACTTATGAACCAAGTTGTTTGTAATATTGGATTACTTGTCTTATGAGTGTGAATATGTATTTGTCTTGATGTATCCAGTGAATAAGTGTTTATGTCCGTTGGTAGTCCAAGTTAATAAATTCGGGAGGATCGTCACCTGCGCACGCAAAGGCTCGTGGGTAGACGCTTGTTTGTAAACAACGACACGCTATGGCCATCTGGCGCATGCGCAGGTGACGACTCCACCGCTTTAATGGTAGTTCAATTTGTGTCACATATAGGCAGCGCCCGCACCGTCCAACTCAGCTGACTTTTACGTGGAGCAGTTAAAGCGACACATGCACCCCAAGCTGCACGCAACAAAGAAGATAACGAAGAAACAAGTACAGGGACTGACACCAGTTCAAAAAATACTCAAAAGTCTCAGCGACGACCTCAGTAACTTTGATACACAGTAAGTATCGTTTGTAGTCTTCTTTCCTCTAACATCAATCTTAACTGTGTTAGTGCTGTATACATGTACATTAAATTTAACATTGTTGTTGATGTAAATATCATATTGAGCGATGTTGTTAATATTTACATCAAATTTAACATTGTTGTTGGTGTAAATATCATATTGAGCGATGTTGTTAATATTTACATTAAATTTAACATTGTTGTTGGTGTAAATATCATATTGAGCGATGTTGTTAATATTTACATTAAATTTAACATTGTTGTTGGTGTAAATATCATATTGAGCGATGTTGTTAATATTTACATTAAATTTAACATTGTTGTTGGTGTAAATATCATATTGAGCGATGTTGTTAATATTTACATTAAATTGAACATTGTTGTTGGTGTAAATATCATATTGAGCGATGTTGTTAATATTTACATTAAATTTAACATTGTTGTTGGTGTAAATATCATATTGAGCGATGTTGTTAATATTTACATCAAATTGAACATTGTTGTTGGTGTAAATATCATATTGAGCGATGTTGTTAATATTTACATCAAATTTAACATTGTTGTTGATGTAAATATCATATTGAGCGATGTTGTTAATATTTACATCAAATTGAACATTGTTGTTGGTGTAAATATCATATTGAGCGATGTTGTTAATATTTACATTAAATTTAACATTGTTGTTGGTGTAAATATCATATTGAGCGATGTTGTTAATGCTAGCAAGGTGTGTTTAAGTAAGCAGCAGTAGTTTAAATGTCAGTGTTATTTTTGGTTTGTGTATGAACTTTTATTTTATTAATATTCAATGTATCTGTCCAGGTTTCTCGTAGACTTCATATCGGAACCAAACAATGGAATGGAAGTGCTGATAGACTTCCTGCATGACATACAACTGTATCACAACGAGGGGATACCGTTCGCTGCATCCCATGGAACGAGGAAATCTTCTGCGACCACGATACCAAAACGATACAGCGATACCATCAGCAGACAGCCGGTAATTCTAAACAGTTATGCGAATCTCTCAGTCCTGCCAATGTAGCATTCGTTATTATAGCAAATCTGATAATTGTGAGTGGGATCGAAGAAAGACGTTGTTGAACTTCTTCTAATATTAACGCTACCTGTAATGCCGGGGTTGGTTAGAATACTGTAAAATGGCTTTTAATTTTGCTTATTTTGCTGACTGTAAAATGCGCTAAATTAAAACCCAGTGAATATGTAAAATTTAGCATAGAACACATTATCTGAATGATAAAACCGTGAATTATTTAAAACCCACTGAATATGCCTGAAATGCTAAATCAGTGAAAATTAGACCCAGTGAAATATAATCATTTTACAGTATATTATTTGAGCTTTAATGATACTACAATGGTCCGCGCCCTGCCGCTAAATAGAAATGATACAATGTACAATGTCCTTGTTTATTTACAGAAAGACAGTCTGAATACTTTAATGTGTATCATAGATATTGTTGAAACAAACGAGGTAAGTAGGAACATATGGAATCGTTAGCGAATCTAATTGGACAACACTGAGGTCGCATGGCACATAATTGTTTAGAATTTGCAACACTCACTAAATATTCTTGTTTAATTTCACAGGAAGCCTTACGATTGGTTCTCGCCAGCAAGAAATCGATGGAGACATTCCTCTTATGCTTGATGAGCAACTCAATGAAACTACGGATCGGAATAGTAAATGTAAGTTGTAGCGTGAATATACCGTTACTGGAGATGGATCTGCCTAGTAAATGTAACCCACAATTCATAGCGTAAATATTTCGTCAGTGAGACGGATCTACCTTGTAAATGTAACATACAACGTGTCATTCATTAGTGACGACGCTGACGCGTTTTGTGCCACTCTTACCATACGTTGCTTCCGACAACCGAGGCCGTCATTTTTGATGGTATATCTCTATGGTGGTTTATTCGATCAACCTTTCCCACCGTTTTTGTTTCTTTCCTAGCTCCTGCGTATCTTATGTACCAACAAAGACGGTCACGATTACGTCATGAATATGATGACGTACATGAAGTTAAAAATGGGAGAAACAACTAGATTCAAGTTACTAATCAGTCTTATTCACGCCGATCCACCAAACAGAAACTACCAGGTAATATTCTATTTTTGACAAAGAGAGTTGTCGTGTGAACGTTTATCAAGTTTATGCACTTTATATTTTCGATGATGTATCTAACTTTTATGAATACCGATTCATCAGGTTCCTGTGTGGTATATTAACGTCAATTTTGACAGCATTTAATTCATGGCATTTTTCCTGCAGCTGGCGTGCCTCAGATTACTCAATGAACTATTGAACTCCACCGACATTGTGAATGAACGTGTATATTTACAATATGAGTTAATCGAACTTGCAAAGTTTGATCCTTATAAAGTACAAGAGGTAAGAATTCTGAACATTTCACCCTTCTGGGTACGCACCGCCCTCTTTTCACTAATATACCACACAACACAGTACATTACATATTAGTATATGTTCAAACACATGGAATTAAAGAATTATGATCCCCTGCCTAAACCACGTGACGAATTTAAATTGAGCCTGAATTTTGATTGAAATACTTGAATACCAGTTATTACTGACGACAAGAATCTAGTGACTTACAATTAACACGAGAAGTTAACCTTCATTTTCAGTCGCTACAAGGAGAGTACGATGAAGACATTTCACAGGAATTGGAACGATGGCACACCAAGTTCATTAACATAGAAAGTCTCCACGAGGATTACACTGAACTTGATAATAGAAATAAACTACTCAGGACAGAGGTAAATTTCAGATCTCTGCCGTCAACTTTCTTTTTGAATGCGATGTTACTTGTAATGAAGCGAGGAGTCTTGTTTATTTAGCTGTTCCTTACAAAGCGCAGATATCAAGATATGCTAAAACCAAGACAGCTATAGTTATTAGAACCATTACCAACTTGAAAACATGGCTGTATCATCTATACCCTCTTATCAACTTACGACCACAATTTATTCGAATCTAATCCACGCGAATAGTGTCGTGAATTTACACCGTTGATATTTTATGAAACCCCTTTTGTTTTTCTTTGACAGATAGACATTCAGAAACGAGAAATACAGGTTGGTATGAGATGTATTGTTTCACTTTGTAAATACTAGATTATGAAAGACACAATTTACAAATCCAAACAGGACTATCAACTACTATGTATTCATATTCAATTTGTCTCGTCGTTAAGTTCACAGAAACACAATGACACGCGTAGCTGTTTATCGTCGCATTTTTATTAATATTTAGCACTTTTCTAAATACAAAATTAACTATTTTGTTTTACTAGTGTGAAGGCAACTTTGCAACATTTGAAAATATGCGCACAAAAAATGTCCAAAAATATGCCACGAATCTGGGTTTCATCCTTAAATGTATTGTTTGAAAGTTTGTTATACTTTTTGGTGTATGCACATTCATATAATTATGTCATTTTTATACTTTGTCTCCTTAGAAATTGGAAATGGAAAATGCAAACAACAAGCAGAAATACATAGAGGTAACAAAGATCGCTTGTAACTGTAGTAGGCGAACAGAAATATATATATATATAATTTCATTTTCAACATTACTGCTTTACAGTAAATATCATTAAGACATTATTTAGAAACCTTTCGTGGAGTTACGAATGCTGGACTGTTGCTGTTTGTACAACAATTTGCCGCAAATCGTCTGAATATGCAGCGTTTGTTAGAAATCTGTTTCTAGAACAGATATCAACGTGTTTGTGGAATTTAGCGTGACAAATTTGTACCATGGTCTCAGAGTCATGAAATTCTACGTTGTAACGCCACGTACTCTTTAACTCCAGGCAAAAGCCGAAAACGAGGAACACCGGATTAAGATTGCCATGTTACAAGATAAACTTGGTACGACAGTGTCGGTAAGTGCACGACATGTTAGTTTTCTTAATAATATTTCGGGTACAGCTGTTCATAACTTCATCCTATATAGAAGTAATAATAGGAATATAGTATTGATACGAATCCTCAATCCGAGTTCAATCATTGTACAATAAAGCACACACGTGAAGGCTGATTTATTGCAGTAACTTTGATAATAATGGTGATATATATATCTCTACACGGTGACGTGAATTCATTGTAAAATCATATTCGCCTAATACCTTTTTAACACACATACTTGCATATTGCAATTTTTTTTACTCTACGGAGTCTACTCTAAAATGTATTACCATGATATTGGACCCAATTCTTGAAGGTTTTGCACCGTGCAACAGTATAGTAATTTATCCAAATCGTCACGTGGTTTTCATCTACAGTAATACATTAATAACGCCATGACGTTGACGTCGCGATGTGTTACGTCACCGTTATGTACCCCGTAATTGTCGATACGTCAACGTAAAGTAATTTCTGAATCTTTGTAGAAAGACGTGGACGAAAACTTCTATGACGAGACGCAAGTAGCTGTAATTCATACTCTGGACCAGGCTATTGAAGACGGTAACAATATAACAGAGACTGAAAGCATTGCGTCTACAAGAACTGATGATATCTATGATGATGTCGAAAACCGCTACACAGAAACTCCGGTAGAGGGCGGCGTCGATGACCCCGATGTAGCCCCGTTGCGTAAACCATCAGTGAAGCTGAGTAAACGACATGCTCCACCCGTACCTCCGCCATTGCCAGGTAACGTACTGGCTGATGTGGAGCACTCGTTCGCACCCGTCATGATTTGCATATTTCCCATCTAAAGATCTAAAATGTTGACACTCTCCTTGACAACCGTTATTTAGGCCAATCGTATTATTTTTATGAAAATAAGCAAAACAAAACAAACTGCTGAGACTTATGCTGTTCATTCTACGCTTTCGAAACTATGACATGCAATGCCGTCCTTCAAAATAATATGATAAAAATACGATATTGTAAAGTAGTAAAGTCCACATGTGTTCATATGCATCCTGTTCTAGGTATTGGAAATTTACCGCCAGCGCCACCACCGCCACCATCGGCACAAGGTTTGAATAACGAGAAAAGAAAACAACCAATCAACGCCAATGTACCATTGCCCATGTTTAACTGGGTTCCCATGACGACAGCAGGTAACACGATATTCAAGGTATGAAACCAATAAAGTAATAATATCTTAATTATGCAAAACATGAATATGGTGATTAGAAATGTGCGTTATCGACCAATCATTATACGTGACCAATGTTGTCCTTACACAGGGAATAGATGAGGAGAATATCTACGAGGAATTTGATTTTTCGGATTTCGAGGCCAATTTCCATACAAAACGACGCCAATCAGTTGCCGAGCAAAACGCTGTATTGAGCAAATTGGAGAGGGCGAGAAAACGTATAGAGAGTCAGGTGACAGTGATAGAGTCGAACAGGGCCAAGAATCTTAGTAAGTATTTCAAATCACACTCACCAGTAACTTAAAATCTCTTAAAAGGCGACAGTCGTCGTGTCGCGTCCTGTTCGATATGGGACTCATAGCGACGTATATAACGCGTGAAAATACATTGTTTATTTACATGAAATTCAAACACGCGCTGCGCGACGACCACCGCGCTTTAAACGAGGCCGGCATAATGTTATGTTGTTGCCCCGGCCCCCTCACTCCCTATATTTAGGGGGGGCCTATGCTTGTTCCCTCATTTTTTGACCCCCCCCCTATCTAGGGAAAAGAAGAAAATTTAACCCCCCCCCCCCTTTCACGGGCTTTTCCGATGAATTTCACCCCCTATCTAGGGAACTTTTCAGTCTAGAACTACTTTTAAACCCCCCTTTTTTGTATATCTCGGGAAGTGTTTTGAAATACACCCCCTATTTTGAGAATCTCGGAAAAACAAGCAAAAAATACCCCCTTTTCTACGATTTTCTCGGGAAAATGTTCCCGAGACAGATCGTCAAAAAGTACCCCCTTTCCCGAGAAAATGGGAACGCGCATGCGGCCCCCTATGGATCCTGAGTGGGGGGGGTTGTTGCCAACGACCACAACTACATGAATTATGATGAAATAAAATTACATATAACTAACTATGACATCTGTGGTGTTCCCGGCAAGATCGGCGAATTACTTTTAAATTTCGAACAATTTGTTGCCAACGACCACAACTACATGTATTATGTATATGTATTTTTTTTTTATTTGTAGTAATTACAAGACGTCGTATCAAGCTAAATGACAGGGAAATTAAATCACATATAACTAACTGTGACATCAGTGGTGTTCCCGGCGAGATCGCCGAATTACTTTTAAATTTCGTGCCATCAAGAGAAGAAGTAAGTATAATGACGTCATACATTTCGTGGTAATTGTTATCGGCTTGCATAAATTATTCTGGTTAATTTGATTGTTTATATTTGCAGCTACGTGGTCTTGCCAAGAATGCTGATAGGTACGAAGAAATGGGAGAAGCTGAGAAGTTCATGTTCAAGGTAATGAACGAACTTAACAACTGCACGTTTTATGGTCTTTTTTGAAGGTCTGTGTGCGTTAAATATGAATCAATTGCGACGCATAGCAACGTGACATCACTACACTTTAAGTCATGTGATTAATTATTCATGACGGCGTTCGGCGACTTGACTAGACAAACAAATGAGAAAACAAAAACTAAAATAACAACAGAGGGCGTTTTTCTACGACTTTGCTGAGACAATACACTTTCTTGTAGATCAAAACAAATCATCGAAAATTATAGCGTGTGCGCACGTTATCATCTTTTGATGTTTGATGAGATGTGATTACGTCGGTTCTATTTTAGTAAGGTCTCGCAATCGTGAGAAACGCTGTTAACCTATTGACCCAACATACCAGTATGCGAATAATTACAAGACTCTTCCCTATAAGAACATTTGATTATGACAAAAAGTTCATGAAAATGAACCCTCAAACCTGGATGTATGTGGATCAGAACACAATAATATTACACGCCATCACACTATCGATCTATTTTTTAGATGGCGCGTATCGATCGATATGAATCAAGATTAAGATTGATGGTATTTATGGGTATCTATGACGACCTCATCAGCACTGTCAGGCCGGTGAGATATTTCAGTGTTCTTTCGCCATTTCTGTGATGCAACAACTTTAGAAAAATAGGTTATATTCGAGTTGTCATACACTATTCGACTTATTGTCGATTGCCTGATATAATATATCTTAAAGCGAGAGGATCGTTACCTGCGCACGCGCAAGCGAGTCCCAAGCAACGATAACACCTGCTAAAAACGCAAAGGCTCGTGGGTATATAGACACTTGTTTGTAAACAGTGACACGCTATGGCCATCTGACGCATGCGCAGGTAACGAATCTCCTGCTTTAATTATGTCTTGTTCAGTGAAAATTTTGTAACATATACTACTACTACAACAAATTAATATGTACGAGTTTCTGGATACCAGTAAACATCAAATAAGTGACAACAAACGAGTTTGAGGAATGTGTGTTAGTGGTAGCGACCGGTCGGTTGTTATGACAACAGTGTCACCAATGATGTATCTAGATGACTCAGACGTAATCGTGTACATATAACTTGTACTTTACATTGCAGCAAATTGAAGCAGTCATTACAGCATCGGAATCTCTAATTAAAAGCAAGATATTGAGAAAAGTTTTTGAGGTGAATCCACATATCAATTTATCGATCTTGTCAAGTATTATCGTTAAGAATATGACTGAAAGGGCGTCTTTGTACTCACTTTCACATTATTTCATCAGATTATTCTCGCTTTTGGAAACTACATGAACAGTTCCCGCAGAGGTCCAGCATATGGTTTCAAATTAGAGTCATTTAACAGGGTCGGTATAATACTAATGTTATATTATGAGGTTATTACCTTATTATTATACATCTTTTCCTTCCAAGGATACATCATGGGATGCCGAAATCCAAAAAGTTTAGAACAGAATCAGCGAACTTCTTTGTGTGGAGTCTGGTCAAACCCTGGTGGCAGCCATGTTTGTTTTTATTATTAGAGGACGCTTATGCATGTAATCATTCCGTATTTGGAATTCGCATTTCCTAATATGGTAGGATGAAAATACCCTGTAAAATATCGCAAAATTACGGCACGCTGTAACTTGTGGCGTTACGGTGACAGATGTATAATAATAACTAATAATAAATAGTGGTTCATTTTAAAATATAAGATAAAATAGTACTCGATTTTAGGCAACGATATGTAATAGTCCAGTGCATTATGTCTAATCTAAATACGGTAAAATATGAATTAAATCATGGTCATAAAACATGGATTATTTTGAATAGTTTCTGTCTGTACTCGATCTATTGGTAGATAATGGATACCAAATCTACAGACAGGCAACATACTTTGCTGAACTATATAGCAACAACGACCAGGAATTGTTACCCTGCTGTTGCATTATGGTATGAGGATCTCGAGGTCGTCAAAGACGCAGTGTCAGGTACATATCACCATATTTCCAATATTACAATAACAATCAGCAATTAATAGAACACATATAACAATACCGTAAACGTACAACGCACATGTTTAGACACGGGGATTTATGCCGTTATTACTATATTGTCTTACTGCAGTGTCGTTAGAATCGATCTCTACCGATGTACATGGTCTCCGCAAAGGATTGGAACTGACAAGATTCGAACGGGATAAACAAGAAGATAATCCGGTCATCTCTATATCCTTTTTACCAGTCTACTGTATGCATATTTTAAAGTGTCGTTTTTTGAAATATTTTTCAGCATGTTTGAATAATGATGTTTGGTATTTCTTGCAAAGCACAGTAGCTATACAAGTTGTAATAACATACAAGTATTGTTTTGAAAAAGGACATAACAGTCTTCGTTCGATGAAATATCAAAGCGCCAGTGCGCATGTACATCTGAGCTACCAACACTCCAACAACTCTCAAGTCTTACATTGCGACTTAAGATAGATTCTTTTAAACTTTACTGCCACCGATCTTTACATTGTTTTTCATCAGTGATTATAATGCAAAACTAACAATTTACGTATAACTGTGTCTCAGGATGAGCAGCGCGGCGCACGCAAGTAATCCACATCTTAAAAATTAGGTTTTTAGAATGTTAAGGCTATAGGTGACTGATTGTTTTAATTACAATCTCTCTATCCCGGGACTGTATGTGTTTTAATTTGTAGTGTAAAATCTTTAACTGACTGTCACGCGTTCTATACCAAAGCATCAGAGAAAGTGTTTGAAGTATCAAAGTTGTACACGAAGATGGAAGAAAGTTACAGAAACGCATGTGCCTTGTTTGGAGAGAATAGTAAAACTATACAGCCAAGTGATTTCTTCACATATTTCAGTATTTTCATGGACAATTACAAGGTATTCAGCTACTAGAAGTGTCACAGATTCACATATATTACATGTTTACTTTATCAAAACTTTCGTGTAGGGGCTCGGTAAAATAATGAGAGCATGACAAATAACATAAAACCATAAACCTTAGAAAAGGTCTTAACTCAGATTAATCTTAGTATGTTCTATTTTTAACCACAGAAAGCGATTGAAGACATCAAAAACACTCCGTTCAACCCCTCTCTGAAACCTGTTACCATGAGAGTGAGGCGATCTTTAACAACTTTAGCAGAAGTGCAATCTGAACACACGTCAGGGTACGTGAATGCTTCATGGGATACTCCAGAAGCCCCAAGACCCAACCCGACATTGTTAAGTACACACCTACAGTCGCATCAAGGTACACCTGGCCACTCTGCAGATGATACCTCCACAGTGGAAGACGACGGCGACTCAGGATTTCACACTTTTCACTCAGAGAACACTTCGCCCCAACCACAGAATCGGAATATTTCAAAACAAAATCCATCCCGTGTAGTGAGTGGCTTCTATTCTGACCTAACCGAGGACAGTGTCAGCGTGATGGCAACACCTCCCAAGACCGCACATGCAGGATTAAAACCCAAACCCCACCCAGTCTACGCCAGATATATTGATACAGTACCCACCGCACCACCCCCATTACCAGAACGAAACAACGCCAGGTTTACATCTACTAGTAGTGAAAACAAAAGCACGTCGTTTTAATCTCAAGTTTCTTCACAGGGAGTTGGACAAACTTATGTATTTTAATAAATTATAAAATGTTATATAACATTTCTTTTACCCCCCCCTTCCTGGTATCGATTTCAAGTAATCATTGATCATTGTTTATACCACTCTTTCCTTCATCACAACTTTATTACGCGCTAATGTTATATGCAAATTATTAGCGCGTAACAACGTTGTGATGAAGGAAAGAGTGGTATAAAACAAAGGGGGGTAAAAGACCAGGAGGGGTAAAAGACAAATTATATAACATTTTATTATTTAATAATTTATTAAAATACTTAAGCTTGTCCAACACCCTGTGATACCACGTACATTTCTACGGGCTCGGGCGCGCTGCTGAGGAACGCGGAACGTCGAGCGAAGAACCGGTGAAAATTCGAGAAAACAGGAACTCAACTTTGAAGTAATCCTGAACAATCAAATTTATTTGAGTTACACACGCAGGAGTAATCTTGTTACACTGCTTAGGGGAGTCTCAACAATCATCCCAAAGTATTGTTTTCACCGTGATGGTTGCCATGCGGTGAAAATGCTCGGATGTCCCCCCCCCCCGAGAGTAAGGTACATCCTTGCTTCTGGAACGCATTGGTGTGTAAATACAATGAATGTCGTTCGAAAAGACTGTTTGGTTGTGTGGTCGTTCCGCATATATAATACAATAACATTTCCAAAAACATAATGTTCTATGATAGGGGACTACAGATAAAATATTGACTCTTTTTACGTCTAGAAGCGCTTTGTCACTAGAGGGCGCGATTTCTAGGAAAGGTATATTAATGGTCAAAAGCTTTATACTTGACAATATATTTTGCGAAATTTATCTGGATGCTGTTATACACTTGGATTTCACCAAAGATTATGTTACAGTGAAGATCATGATAAAGATATTTATTTTCCAGTCATAGCTCAAACGCCAGTGCTATGTCACGTGTCAAGTTTGTCAACTTTCAAAAACACGCAATACGTTTAGTGAACCTTCCAACCGATTAAATTTTAGAAGCAAATACAGTGGATATCATAACTCTTTGTTAATACATTTTGTTTAAATTTGTAAATATTTACAAACAATAACTGTTTTAATTTGACACAAATTTCATTCAAATCCAAAACGAATAAATTGACTAAGTGGATGCCACCCTCCATTCCGCAAAGTGCTTCTTACTATGACGTCACTGTACGAGTTTCACGACTGTCATTTCAATTGAAAATCAATAAATGGGTAAACTGTACATGGTGCTGTGCTCTACACTGCACATGTGCTGAATTATAATTTAGCGAACAACGATTGTCAGGCTAATCACAGAGTTTTGTTTAGCTGACTTACAATTTACACTTGTAAACATGTGGCAATTATTGCAATATTTACATCTTAAAATTGTTTTTATTTTTTCATATTTACCGGTATACAGCATACAACTGTGGTCATTATAATTATTTTATAAATAAGTGTTTTTATAAATTAAAATGGTTGCTAGAATTCAAATATCCGTGGTCCTTTTCATCCCACACCGGGACATAAGGCTGCAATCAGGTTCTTCCATTCCTGTCTATCCTTGGCCACCATCTCTGTTCTTCTCCATGTGGGTTTTTGCCCCCCTCTCTCTGTTTCATTGACCCTGTGGCGTCCAGCGAAGTGCTGTTTGGGAGATTTAGTCTTGTGGCATTCTGAGAACATGATCCAACCAGCTCAGTCCTCGGCTCTTAATTTCAAATATACCAATCCTGAATAGGTATTGTGACATCAACGTCAGTTCAACATTATCCAATCACTAATACCTCATTTTGAATATGTGGGCGGTTCGCAGTTGCTACAACACATAAGAGCATGTACGTGCATCATAGGAATCAAATCAATTGTTATTGAATGGTGAATTCATGCACGCCTCTCCCTTCAGCCCGCAAAAAAAAAATACGACAAACCAAGCCCACTGGAGATCTACTCGGCCACATCAATAAGCGCGCCCCTTACCGAATTTCTGGATCCGCCAATGGAATTTGAATCAAAGCTAATGATCAGCTTTTAAATTTTTTTTTTAGCTTTGTGCATTTCATTTGTATCATATATAGATTTATGTAAAAGTGTTGTTGCTTTGAACATTTACTTATTTTTAAACCTTTCACACTGTGTATATCATTTCAATGTACAACAATCTGATCATCTTCGTCAGCCAAACATGTTTAATTTACCTGTTTGTAGCGAGTCCCCTAACTAATGTATTTACGAGTATATATTATACCACATTGTGTTGCCCGTAAGATTTTATTTCAGAAAACCACACATTTTTTTTTGGTTTCTCCTTCTTTGCATGCTTCGACATTGTTTTTATATTCAGTTTCAGTTTAATGTAGTAATGTAGAATAATGTAGTAAACTAGTGTACTGTGTTCATATGCATATTTGTAATTGGCCAGGCATTTCTCGACTTAGCTATTTGATCACCATGAGAATACCTCAACTATTGACAAGGTTTGATTCAACAACCAAGTTAATACCAGACATTACCAATAAATACATTTTAAATATGCTTTTGTCACACGAGTTGTTACTGAATGACAGGCCAATGAATATAATATTTATGTTAATACAAACCTTTCCACTGACCCAATGAGTATATTTTCTACACATTGTATACAGGGATATGCTGCTCAATAGGTATATTTTCTACACAAGGTATACAGGGATATGTACCCAATGGATATTGAAAAGAGTTATTTTCACCAAAATGGACAAAATTATTCATTAAAATCAAAGAAAGCTTAGAAAGAACTCCCATGTGCTGAGAGTATTGGAGACACATTAAATATAATTCGAAATTACTTAGCTGAAAACTAATTATGCAAATCAGAAAATTAATATGACCAGATTTGAGTGTAAAACTAATGAGGTCTGCGCAATGTAACAGAAAATCTATGTCTCCAAGTTTAATTGAAATGTGATTAGAACCAAAAAATTATGAATTATTATGCTTATTAGGGAATTAATATGAACAGATTTTTACCCCAAACTAATTAGGTTTGTACATTGTCCTAGAGCATCTTTGTACTAAGTTTCATTGAAATGGAATAATTAGTACCGTGAAAACTCCAAAATTTCGACCCCTCTAAAAATTCGATTGGCTATTTATTTGCCGGGTTTCGGTGTTTTATTTACCTCCAAATTTTCGACTCCACTAAAAATTGCCGACTCATTCTTATTCGAAAATTGCGACCAGTTTTAGTTTTCCCCCAAACGAAAAAAAAAACCGATGTGAGCGTTCAAACGGGACCTTCCTCGAAGGCATGAATCCGGGTTTCTGATTGACTGAGAGATTTTTATTTTATTGGTAACGAAAATATATTCTAAATAAACGAAGTTTCAAATAAAACGAACACAAAAATCTCGGCATGCTGCGTTTCTGAATTGTTGATTATTACTGTACTCAGTAGTGATTATAATAATGT